ACTGAGCGCGTCCCAGCTCAGTTGATTAGGCAGGCCGGTCACCTCCCCCAGGATCATCAAGAACATGGAATGCTCTGTGTACTCTGCTGAAAGCTGACAGTGGGGGGAGGGGGAGGCTGGAAATGAGGCAGTGCAGGCCCTTCCGGAGGAGGGAGGGAGCCCCTCTGTCCCGCCTGCCCATCCCGTGTCCTGCGAGTACCCCGGTGAGGAGGGAAACGCTGTCAGGTGTAAGGTGCTCTTTCCCTTTCATGGGCCATCCCCTGGTTGTTGGAATGGGCTAGAAGTCCCCGTGTTCTAGGGTTTTCTTTGCACAGGACTTAAATATCGGTGTTATAAACAACTCAAACATATCCACATGACATGTTTTTAATTAAAATATGGGTCACACCGTCTGCACCATCTAATTTTTCTGGGCTCGGAGATTGCCAGTTCATTAACATGCTGGCTCAAGACAGCGCAGAGGAGGGAGACCGCGGCCCAGAGGCCCGGTCGCGCTCACTCAGCACAGAGGAGCTTTATGTTTCCCAGGGACATGTTAATTAACGTTACTCTGCGCCCAGCCCGTCCCCAAGGTGGGTGTGACACATCCGCCTGGGGCGTGGGTTTATTAGCGCTGCTCCAGAACTGGGGGCTGTAGACCTGCGTCGCTGGGGGAGGCTTCCTCTTTGGACAGTTTCACTCCTGCTTCTGGAGAGTCTGTGCGTGAGAGCGCCCCCCGCTGGGCTGCGCCACACCAGGGTGTGCCCCGGGGCACCGGCACGTTCTTTGATCACCGGGGCTCCCCTCCCCCTCACTGAGACTCTGTGAGCTCCAGCCCTCCTCCTGGCTCTGCTGGGGCTCGAAGCTCCAGAGGCGCGGATTAAGTCTCACTTCGCCCGCTCTCTATAGGATGTTGCACCTTAGCCCCTGGCAGAGCCGTGATGGTGTGGTGGAGGAAGGGCAGTGGGGGGAGGGCCGGCTCCGGGCACTGGCTGCGCCTCTGGACTGAGCGCCTCGCCTTTGCGTGCGTGAAGGGGGTGTGCGGCCTAGGGGAACTGCTCTTGGCCTGCGGATGGCAGCTGGGGCTTGGTGAGGAGAGGCCGTTGTGGCTTCGTGGCTTCTGGAATGTGTCGCCTGGACGGGGCTGTGCTCCAGCAGGCTCAAGAGCCCCTCCTTTCCCCTCCGGGGAGGCCCTTGACTCGAGAGGGTGTGGCCGCCCTGCCTTTGGATTTTTTCCTCTCACCCAACCCAGTGACCTCGAGGCCAGCGTTTCGGTTTTGGCCTCAGGCCTTCACGTTCGCTGCAAAGCAGTCATCTTCAAAATTGTTGCTGTTTTAACCTACAAAACTTTCTTCAGTAGCAGCCTTAGATGTAAAAGCAGGGTTTCCCAGCCTCGGTGCTGTAGACTTTGGGCTGATAATTCTTTGTTGTGGGGAGAGGGGAGCCGTCCCATCATTTTTGAAATGTTTGGGCACACCCCGGGCCTCAGCCCACTAGAGGCTGGTATCCCTCCCAGTGCCCCTGTTGCAACAACCAAAAACGTGTCAGCCAGTGATGTCACCCAGTGCCCCCCTTGGGGGGCAGTGTCCCCTTCAGCTGAGAAGTACTGCATTGAACTAAAGTGTAGGTGGGCGCCTGGGGCCCCTCCCCGCCCCACACCGCAGGCCGCCTGAGACCCAGGCCGGCACACCAGCATGTGCCCCCCCAGTCCCTGCTCCCTGCTCCAAGTTGAGTGCTTCCTGTCGCACGGGGGTGCTCCTGAGGAGCCTCCACAGGGACCAGCTGGCCCCGGAACAGGGAGTCCAGTGACAGCCTTGTGCAGGGTTCAGGCACCTCACCTCCCTTTAAAAATGATTGTTATTGATCTTTTTTTCCCCCCAAATGACAAAAATAAATACTTGGCAAAGACAAGCTGGACGACCTGGAGCAGCAGCAGATGAGAAGTCCCTTGCAATCGCAGCAGGTCATTTAGCACACACAGAAGCCCCCCAGACCTGCTCTTGCTGCAGCTTGGCAAGTTCTTACATTTTTCGAGCCTGCCCTTTCCACATAGGCCGCTGGCCTCCCTCCCAGCACAGCACACCCAGCAGAGGGACCATCACGGACGGACCCCCAGGGCTGGCACCCCGTGCTGAGTCACCGGGGGAATTGGCAGATGTCATCGCAGATCTCAGGCCGCCCCTTTGCTGCCCTGCAAGTCCCTTGGAACCTGCCCCGGGCTGCCAGCTGTGCACCCCTGCACCTGTTTGTGGTTTCTGCTTCAATGGCTTGTTCTGGAGGCCAGAAGCGGCAGGCTCCCTGCCCCTCTGCCTCTCTGGTGCACGGAGTGTTTATCAGTGATGGAGGAGAAATGGCGGCTTCCACTCAAGCTGTGATGCCACGTTTAGCCTGAAAACGGGGGCGGGGCGCAGCTCAGCGTCTGCAAGGCACCGGGTTCCGAGTGACCTGCACGCCGGCCCTTCCTGGGCACTTACTGCAACCTCGTCTTCCTGCCCTCACACAGTCTTACTTTGGAGGGTATTTTGTTATCCCTGATGGACAGACAGACCTGGACAGGGGGCCCGTGTGCATCCTGGCTCTGGGCCAGGGTTGGCACCTTTTTCTCTCAAAGGCCAGAGGGCCCAGGTCTCTGCGGCGCACACTGGGCTGCGTCTTTGTGATGCAGGCGTGACGACAGGAAACGGACAGGCACGTGCACTGAAGTTCATATACGTCACAGACTGCGGTTCTACTTTCGATTTTTGGTTTCGGTGTAAAATCTATTCTTAGCTCTCAGGCCGACAAAAGCAGGTCGCCGGGATAGACTGGGCCCACTGGCCGGTGCTGCCCCCGGCTCCAGAGCCCCACCCCTCAGCACACCTTCCCACCTCAGCCGCAAAACTCCCGTTCCTCAGGCCAGGGAAAGGAACCCTTCCTCGGTCTCAGTCCAGCGAGGAACAGGGCCCCAGGGAGCCCTTGGCAGCACGCAGCCCATCCGGTGCCTGCCGCGTCTCCTGTGTGCCCGAGTCTGGGGAGGGTCACTGTGTGGGCGGAAGGGCCCGCGGGCTGACCGGGCAGAGGGTTGCAATGCAGTCAGGGCGGGCTGTGACCCAGACAGAGCTATGGAGTCTAACGTGGGCCAAGGAAGTGATTCCATTTGTCCGAGCCGCCAATGGACAGCTGCTTGCTGGGAGTGGGCCCCGTGGGCGAAGGAATGGTCGTCTGTGGGGACCCTGGGACCTGCTTGGCAGTTCAGGTGCATACACTGGTTTGGGGGGTGGGGTCGGGGGCTGACACAGGTCGTTCTCCGTCCGGCCTTCCTGTCCACCGGAAAGGGAGCTAGCGCCCCCGCCCAGGTGGCACCGGACCAAGTAAACTGCCGGTGGCCGTGAGGCTTCCAAGAGAAGGCTTTGGCCTTGGAATTTAATACCGAGCTGGCCACCTGGTCCACGTCCCCAGCAGATGCCAGTGTGTCTGGCTGCTCCACAGGGGCCCTGAGAGAATGTGGAACAGAACATTCTCTCAGCAAACCTTGTCACTGTGCGGCTCTGAGGTGCTGTCCGAGCCCCCAGCCCCTGCCGTCCTGTGGCCTTTCTGGCTCTGGCTGCGCCTGGTGGCAGATGGCAGAGCCGTGGGTGTGGGGGTTGGCCAGGGAGGGGACGTCTGGGGAAGGTGGCTGCCGCCTCTCTGGCCTGAGTGTCCCAGGGTGAGAGGTCACTTCTCTGCACTTCTCGCTGAGAGGGTGCTTCAACTTCGGGGCCACTGGTGGGAGGGGCAGATCCAAGCGGGCCGGTGGGACTCGGCGCTCCCCCCGACTCCAGGGGCGTGTTGGAGCTCCTTGGGATTGCAATACCAACCCCCTCAAAACTCACAGAACCCAGACCCTTGCTTGCAGAACTTTCGAGTTCCTTTGCTTTGGGCCGGAATCACCCACTGGGTGAGTTAGTGCTCGTTCATATTTGTTGGTGAAAAGTTCGGGTTGATGGTGACTTACGTCTTCGGCAAATGCATCTGAGGAGATGAATTCATTACAGCTTAATAAACAAGGCTTGCTTGACACAAACCTCCCCAGACAGGAGGTCTCTGGGGAGAGCGTCCATAAAGGAGAGGTTCGTGAGGAGGAGAGAGACCGTGGATGGGGCGGGTGCCTCACCCTCTGCCCCCGGAGACCCAGGAGGCCCGGGAGGTCGGGGTCCCTGCTTGAAGCCCCTGGCCGCCCACATTGCAGTGACGAGGCCGGAATTAGGCTCCTTGGATACCGGTCTCTGCTTCTTTCCATGACAGCCTGGTGCTTCCCTGGTCCCTCGGTTGTCCCTCTGTGCAGCCCTGACCTCTTCAGCTCCAGACTGGACGGTGGTCGCCTGATGGGGCCATCAGTGTCGGGACCCTGGGGACCCCTGAGGCAGGGGTGTGCTCCTCCTGGGCTTTTCCACCCCAAAACCACCCCCCTTTTTAAAAGAGATTTTTATTTATCTATTTTGAGAGAGAGGGGAAGAGAGAGAGGAGAGAAACATTGATGTGAGAGAGAAACAACGATCGGGTTGCCTTGTGTACGCACCCCAACCGGGGAGCGAACCCACAGTGCAGGCATGTGTGTGTCCTGCTGGGGATCCAGTCGGTGACCTGTCGCTTTGCAGGACGACGCCCACCCCCCTGAGCCACACCAGTCAGGGCCACCGCCCCCCCCCCCCATCTTTTTTGTATACACACTATTTGTATTGTCTTTATGGGCAGGAACTGAGAAAATGAGCTTGTCCTTAGGAAATCCTAGGGAAAAAAAGAAGGAAGGAGAGGGAACAGAAGGGGACCGAGTCACAAAGATCCACAGGGTGGGGTTTCAAGTCTCCCTGGAGCTGAGGGGGTCCTTCCATGCTGCCCCGGGGGGGACCTCACCACGATCCCTCGGGCCGGCAGCGGAGGGAACAGGCTGGGAGGTGTTTGCTGGCTGGGCGAAGGCCCAGCGGGCGTGGGGCAGGTCCAGGGGTCCGCCTCGCCCCCTGCCGGCGCCCCCTGCTGACCGGCGTCTGCCTTCCCTCCTGCAGACACATAGAGAACTGGCGCGGCCTGCACACGCTCAACGCCGTGGACATGGAGCTCTACACCGGCCTGCAGAAGCTGTGAGTGCGGGTCCCGGGGGGGCCTCTGGGTGGGGGCTGCCGGTCAGCAGAGGGGGCACTGCCCTCTCAGGGAATGTCGGGGGCTGCGGGGGCCGGCCAGCCTTTCACACCCCCGTCTCACCAGGGCCCAGAGACGTGAGGGGCTTGCGTGAAACCTCAGCCTGCAGTCGGGGTTCAGGGCAGGACCTGTGCCCTGGTCTCCAGGATAGTGCTCCCCACCTCCCAACCCCCTCTGCCCGACGAGTGGTTCCCGTGGAGTGTGGAACTCTGCACTTCAGTGGCGGTGGGGGGCTTGGGGTGGGGGATGGAGGCACCAAGGGGGAGCTTGTTCCGTGCAGCTGCCTGTCTGGGTGAGGGCAGCTGCCAGCACTGCCCGCTCCCGTCCCGAACTGTGCCCAGGTCCCACTGGGGTGTGAGCCCGGACACCCCTCACTTGCCCCCACCCCCACTGGACTCCTCATGGTGAAGGAATGAATTGGGCTTTGCAGGGGCAGCTGCAGGTCCAGTCTTGGCCTGGCCCCTGTCACCCTCAGCCCAGGGCAGGCGTCCCTCTGCCCCGTCAGCCCTGCTGACCCCCTTTTCTCTCCCCAGGACCATCAAGAACTCAGGACTTCGGAGCATCCAGCCCAGAGCCTTCGCCAAGAACCCCCACTTGCGCTACATGTGAGCAGAGCTGGGTCCTGGGCCGTGGGCGGGGAGGCGGTGGGGGGGCCATGGCAGGGGAGGGTCCCGGCAGTGAAGCCGTGTGCCCTGGGGCGTGATGCTCAACTTCTCTGGGCTTCAGATTTTGCCTCTTAAAAGGAGGGTTTTGGATTTGATGTTTTCTAAAGGTTCCCGTCAGGAGGGATCTTAGTACCAGGGATTATTAGGAGAGGGTCTGGACTCCCAAGTTTGTTCATTTTTCATGAGAAGTTTGCCGTTTTATGGGAATGTACATGATAAGAAATTCCGCTCCTACAGGCTGTGAACGGCACTTCTGAGACTGCCTGTGGGTCTGGGCGTGTGTGTGCGTGTGTGTGTGCGTGTGCCAGGTGGGGGTTACAGGACCGGAAGCAGGGCTGGGCGAGATGCCATGTCTGTGCAGGTTCTGGGTTCCATCGAAAACCGCCCAGAGAAGGGGAGACATCTGTGCGTGGGGTCACTCCAGGTGTGGCACACCCTGGAGGTCCTGTGGCCCCGGTGGTCACACGGCCCAGGTGGGAGGGTTGTCTCTGCCCCCCTCCCCGCCTCCCCTCAGCCGCATGTCTGAGGACAGAGGGGCTCTGGCTGGGCCTGTGGGGCAGACTCACAGGGACATGGCGCCGCCTCTCCGCACCTAGCTCCGGGTGGAAGGCTTCGGGCTTCACCCCCGGGAAGGGGGTGAGAGGCGCCCTGGGGCGACTGGGGGAAATGCCCAGCAACCGTACCCATGGCGGTGCCTGCTGCCTGGCCAACTCTTCCGTGGGGACAGCGGCCATCGTGGGCACCCACCGGGGACGTTCCCCCAGAGCAGATGTGCCACGGGACCCAGGGAGGATGGGTCTGTTGTGTTTGGGAGGAAAACGGAGGAAAGATTTTCAAATGAGTGTTTCTTTTGGTCGCTTGAAAGTTGCATGTTGGAGGCAATGTTGCTTCTAACAAGGGAAGGGCAGTGGGCTGGGTTGGGACCCAGAGGCAGGGGCAGAGCGTCTGAGGGGCACTCCCAGGAAGGGGTGGGGAGCGGGGGTCCTGGCCTTGCCCCAGGGCCTCTGCCTTTCCCCAAGCACATAGTGAGTGCTCCATACATATATGAATATATTATATATATATATACATACATACATGTATATATTTATCAGTTGTGGGCACCCCTGCCTTGTGCTGAACTTTCTTTCCTCCCTCTGGAACTATCACACTGCATGTCCTTTTCACTCGGCTGATGTGTTAGCCGTGGGGGACCGAGACCTCCCTGTGAACGGGCGTGTCGAGCCGTGGCCCCTGCCCTCCCCCAGCCTCCGAGGCGGGACCCTGCTGATGTGTGTGCATCAGGGCGCGTGGCCAAGGCCAGATGGGCAGCCTTGGGCCAGATGTTCTGGGTGTTTATTTTATCGGGGATCTGAGCTGCAGTGTAAAATATCCCAGGGGAAGAAGCCTTTGACCTCTGAGAAGAGTGTCCCTTTTCACACGGGGTCACACAAGGGTCCCTGAGCTCCATGTCCGTGGTGTTCCAGGTGGGGACAGCGCAGGCAGAGAACTGTGTGTCCCCTCTAAAGAAACAGTCAGGAGCCATGCTGGCCGACTGTTGCCGTGTGGAGGTGGGACCGCCTGTGGCCAGACTTGCTGTTTTTTTGTTTGTCCCTTGTTTGTTTGTTTGTTTGTTTTTTCCCCCAAGAAGAATGGAAGGTGCAGTGAAACCTCTCAGTTTTAAACCCTGGCAATGGAAAGGGAGGCCTCTCCACTCCCTGGGCCAAAGCAGGCTGCCGTGGGCAGGAGGTGGCGCACCTCGGAGGCCCACCCCCTGGTGCCTGTTCTCCTGGGCCTGGTAGGGCAGTGTGTCACCTGCAGTCTCAGGGAAGTCGAGAGGGATTTGGGGCCCGTCACGTTTCTGGGGGCCACAGAGAAGGGGCAGGGCTGCATCTGGGTAGCGGGTGTCTGTGTGGTGGATTGTGCTGGAGTGTCTTTGGCTTACCCATGGGGCCCCAGACGAGGGCAATGACCCACCGCTTTGGGGGGATGATCTGCTCTCAGCCGGGTGGTGAGTGACAGGCTGCTGGGCTTTGCAAGGTTCCCAAGGCTTTGGGGTCAGGGCGTCCAGTTGTAGTAGGTTCTGGTGGAACCAGGAAGCCTGCCTGTGACCTTGGGCCCTGTGTTCTCCTGGACGCATTGGCTGGTCCTCACCCAAGCACCTGCATGGGTTGCAGGGGCATCAAGAGTGAGAAGGAGGGGTGGCTGCCATTCACCCGCAGTTCGGGCCCGGCTGCACGTTGAAAGTGAGTTGGGTGGGAAAGCTTGGTGGGAAAGGTCAGCCCCTGGTGGAGGGGCTCCCAGAGGCCTGGTGGGGGAGGGTCAGGAGAGGCGCCCGGGGCTCCCAGAGAGTCCAGAGAAGGAGGAGGAGGCGGCGTGGCTCCGCCAATGGGTTTTACTCAGGGACCTCTCCCAGTTGTGAACACACACCCAAACCCCAGCTGACTCAATGTCCTGGCAGCTTGAGGACATTTTCTCCTGGCAAGTGGGCCAGGTCTCTCTGCTCTCTCACAGGCTCTTCCACTCCTGCCCCTGAAATGTGTTTACACGGCTTCAGGCCCCAGCTGAGCAACCACAAGGTGACTGCTGACTCCAGCACTGATTGCTAAGTCCTGGCTTGGTGCCTTTTTATTTTCTTTCTTCTTCTTCTTTAAAAAAAAAATTTTTTTAGGGTGATGACTGAGAAGTCTCTATCCAGAACAAGAAGCAGGAGGTGGAATCATTGTCCCAGTGTTGATGTCAGGTCATCCAGATTGCTCTGACTGGCAGCTGTCCCCTGTCCCCAAGCTGCTGTCCCCTGTCCCCGAGCTGCTGTCTTGTTGGTGCCGCTCTTCCCTGAGCGTCACCGAGACTGAGGAGGCCCAGGTGGGGCCCAGCCGTCTGCCGCAGGAGGCTGGGGACCAGGACACTCGGGCCCTGCTGCAAGTTTATGAGTGACCGACCATCTCCTCCCGACTCTTTTGGTTTCTGTTGTATGTGAAAACATGAAATATTGACTTATAGACATCGAGAGAAATCCTTTATGTATTTATTTTTTTGACAGACTGGAATATTCTTGACCCTTACATCCTTTCCCGGATCTTAAGAAGTTTGAATTAAGGATTCTTAAGGATGAGGATTTTCCCCACGGAGACTTGCAGTAGCTAGCTGCTAATCCGTCAAATGGGCATACTAAAAGTGCCTGCTTTAGGAATTCTTGTTGTCATCGGTGGTAGTGGTGATAATGGAGTGAAAGAGGAGGGAGGAGGCGGCCACCTACCACTCTCTTCTGGGAAGGCTGGGTTTCTGTCCCGCAGGGCAGTCCGCCTCTCTGGGGGCTGGAACGCTCATGCCTGCAGTTTCCAGGGTCTTCCTTGAGCATGGGGGGCGCCACAAACCCCGGGTGAGTCTCTGTTCCCTCCACGCGGTCCCCCGCTCGCTCCAGGCCCCGTGCGGTTAGTTTCAGAAAGGGCCGTCTGATACGAGACCACATCCACCCACACAGTGGACCTCGAGCTGCCTCTGCCCCTGGCTCGTGGCTTCTTTTCTGGGGTCTCTTTTCTTGGGTGTCTCGTGCCCTGGCCGGGTCTCCAAGGTCTGGGGCCGCCTTCAGTAGTGCTGATGAGCCGCACTCAGATGCCGGTGTCCTCGTCCCACAGTGCCCGAAGCACTGTCTCCCACACCGGCTCCACCTTCCGTCCGGGCGCCCTGCTGGTCACAGCCCCGGGCGGCCTCGCTGTGAGCCGCAAGAGCGGCACATACACCGCGGGGCCCTGGGAGTCCCCCTCCAGGAGGCTGTCCGAGATGGTTTTTTAAAAAGTTATTATGATGTTTAGAACATTGCACTGAAAAAAACCCAAAAAACAAAGCTGGCCTCAGGAGAGGAAAAGAAAGGCTCATTGTGGTCAAGAACTTCCTGGGTACCAAGGACTCTGTCTGCTCTGACCATTAGGACCTCACTCCTCATGGTAACCACAGCTCAGGTTGTGCCCATTTCGTAGGTGGGAGCACTGAGGCCTGGAAGCCAAAGCAGAGTTCCCTCCTGGTCACGTAGCTATTCGTGGGGCACCCCAGGCTTGGCCTGGAACCACTTTGACTCTGGATTCCAGGTGCTTCTCTATACATCCCAGGCATGTTTTGTCTTGTTTTCATAGTAGGAGGTTTTCATGGAAGGGGTGGGGACCTTTATACTTGTATTACAGAGAGAGAGAGGAGGGAGAGGGGCGCTTGCTGCCTTGGGAATTTAGCACCTCAGGCACTTCTGCTGAGAAAGCCGCATTTAGTTTCTTCTCCTATTCAGGTCAAACACTGTCATGGCAGTTACATTACAACCTGCATATCTTTATCATACAAGGTTTCTTAGCATTAGCCTACGGCCTGCTAATTTCCGAGAATATGTAATGTAAGGTTCTGGCAGCCACAATGATGCATTTAATCCCTTAGAGTTGTTGTGGTGGGGGGTCTCCCTTGCATTCAGTTTTTTATTTCCCTCCCCAGAGCTCTGGCTGCCTTGTTCAGTTCTCTCTGTCCTAAGCAAACATGTACCTGACCTTCAGCGGAGAGCGCCAGCCCTGAGCTGACCCGTGTGGGTGTGTGATGGAATGGGGAAAGGAGAACGTCCTGATTTCGGTGTAATTGTGTTGACTGGTGACGTTCCCAAGGAGAGAGTCGTGCAGCACAGGGCAGGGGGGACGGAGGAAGTGGCCGGAGTCCCAGGCCTCTCAGGATGTGGCTGAGAAGGCAACCGTTTCTCCTGGGGTCACTGGGATGGAAACACGGTGAGGCTCTTTTATGGTGTGTGGCGAATCACTCAACTCTTTCTCTCCTTGAAGTGCACCCCGCCCCCATTCTTGGCCATAGAACAGTGCGTAGCTGTTATATTAGTAGGTGTGTGCTCTCCGCCTGCTCCTTATCTGTGGGCCGGGACTTTCCCCTGAGTCCCAGAGGGACTGGTAACTGGCACAGTGGTCCCCTTGCTGCTT